GGCTCTGAGCAACCTGATCTATTTGAGTATGTCCCTGCCCATGGCAGGGGGTTGGTGCTTCCAACCCAAACTATTCTATGATTCACACAGTTACAGTGGCAAACACTGATACCATTTTCTTATGACTGAATGCATCTACAAGCTAGACTGTTCATATATTCTTTGATGGTTTAGCCAACGCATGGAAGGTGACCAACCAACTTTATTTAAAAGGCTACCTTAAAATTAAATAGATCTTTTGGCTTTGTGTTTTGAAGAAAACATTAAAAGAACATGTGAAGAAACTAACAGGCATGCAACCTACGGGTTTACAAGCTTTCAGCTGTACAATACATACATGTTGAAGATGAAAAGTCACTGTTTCTGTAGCTGTGATCCACCAGGTTATTAACAGACAGATCTGTTCTTCTTTCTAACTCTCTTCGCTCTCTCACCAGCTCAGTTCCAAGGGAGCCAAGCATCACTGATGAAGATCTAGGAATCCTACTGTACCTCCAAGAGGAATCTAAAAAGAAAAAGTAAATAAATCTCCCGTTTTTGTAATAATTTAATAATCCATTAAAGCTGGTACTTATGCATGCATTCTGATTATACGATATTAAGGGCGAGTTTAACAATACCACTAAGCTGATCAAGTGGCCAGCTGCCAACATAAAGGCAAGAATAAGCAGCACTCTGCTGATGCTGGCACTTACTTAATCTTGCAGTGAGTTAGTTCTGAAAGCTGAACCAGAAAAAAGTAATAATACTTTTGTGAAGAGTCAGACCCATTAACACTCATACAGGACAGGAGGAGGAAGAGAAGTAGCAACTTGCTTTCTAATGGTAGCTAGTTATTAAATAGGCTTCACAACATGGCAAAACAGCAGCTTGAGACTTAGTAAATGCTGTTCTAATGATGCTTCTTAAATGCTCCTAAAATTCATTTTCCAGAAAGACAGCTGAAGCTTAAGTGCAGCTTACACACAACTTTAAGAACGATGACTAATACTGTTCTTGCTCATATTGCAGAGTAAAACACTTCAGTTTAAAAAGGGATCTTGTTTTTTGCTAAGAGCACCAACAACTAAATAGGGAACTGTACATACTTCAGCTGTGAACAAAAAACTCTTGTTCCAAAAAAGTGTTCTTCAATGACTGAAAAATCCACCTTGATTTTGTTTTGCTGCTAACTTATAAATCCAAATTTAAGCATTCATTGGTCAGCAGTGTGATGACCAAACAATCTAGAAATGGGAAGACAGATAGTCCTACACCATAATGTTAACGGTGGTCATTTTATTAACAAGAGTAAGAAAGCATCAACAATAATGGGTTTTGAGCAAGAATTTATTAACTTTTGTTTGGATGGCTGTGTAGTTCCATACGGGGATATAAAAAGACCATTGATCCATACTCACAAGGGTAATCTGAATGGATCTAGTGGTCTGTTTCAAAACATTCTAGAAGTATTTCCAATGTAAGTTTTTGACTGTTATTTCCTGACCTTTAGACTTTCGTTAGCATATTGCTTAACTTACATCTATCCAGGTAACATACTTATTTACAGCTTTAATGAAAATCTCAGTTTTTCCTGAAAGAGCTCCTAGTGTAGAATGTTTATTTTTGCCTGGCCTATAGAATGAGTTCAGGCCCTGCTAAAAAAGAACTCTTTCTTCCCTGACCCCTAACAACAGTGCCCTAACCAGCCATGATACTGTGCTTCTTGGAACATAGAGCTAAGTAAGGTAAAGATTTGCTTTCTGCTGTCCTTGGCACACGTAGGTTTACCAACACAATTTGACTCATGAAATAACAGCAGCTACACTCATTCTTTCCTTGAAATCTTAACCAATTAAGACATATTTGAGCCATGAAGTTCAGATTTACTGCAAATGGAATAGGTACAGGTAATAATTTTGAAATAACGTGAGTACAATTGGCTTTTCAAAAGACCATGTTAACAGCATTCTCAGTTCTTTGGATACTGCTATCAGTGTGAACACACTTTTCTGTTAGGCATAGGTTTTTAATATTTAAAAATAATAAAAGCATAATATTTCAAAGCAATTCTTTTAAAACTTGGTAAAACCTGATCTTACTACTCAGACAATTTTCATGTAACTCAGCTCTAGTAATCAACCTCTCACCTGAAAAGGCAGTCAAGCCATTACTTCTCACAGAAGAGGTAGATGTACAAGATAGCTTAGGTCTCTTTGAATCACTATCTCGCTGCTGGCTATGCAGTCTTGAATATGCTCCCTGAGTTCTCTCAGACTCACCATAACACCCAGATGTAAAATGAGAGGAAGAAGATGTAGACTGAAATAACATTAAAAAAAAAATAATTACAGACACAGTATTTCAGATGTACTTACACTGAACAAAAGTGTACATAATGTAAGACTCACAAAAATAGTAAAGAATAACTTTAAGATGCAAAGCCTTTTTATTTAAAAATAATGTAGGGTTTATGCTTGTGCTTTTGATCAGTATTCCCAGGTTTACTCAAGACAGTCCTACCAACAAAAGCTGGTTTCTGTTACAAGCAGCATTATTTTTCCTTTAGAGATAGATGTGGCTTACAGGGCAAAAAGATATTCCTGACTTCTAAGATGCTATAAACATGATAAATATAGCTTTACAGCTCTCCACGGAAACATAATTTTGCTGTCCAGAAATGGCCAAAACTGATCAGCTTCATTATTTTATTTAATAGTTTAACTAATCCAGCTTATTTTTTACCAACCTAAAATGTACTTAGCTAAGGAGTCAGCTCTAGCTTCTAGTAAGCTGTTTAGACCATATATTTTGATTACATTCTCAAGTGCAACTGAAACAGTTCAGAGTAAAGAATGGGTACAAAATAATTTTTGCAGTGTACAGCACTGAAATAAAACAGTTTTCAGAAACTAATACTAACAAAAAAAAATTGGGATAGCCTATAAAGCTGTTAGTCTGGTTACTTGCAGCCAAGGCATTCATTTTCTATTTGAAATGTTTTGATTTTATTTTTTGATATAAAAAACTTGAGCTCAATCAAAAAGCTCAATTGAGCTGTTTGTCCTCCCAGAAAGTATGTACAACCAAGATCCTTTAAGGATCAACCAAATTAGAGTAGATGTTAAAGTTGTGTTTTATTTTGTTATGTTTTTTACTAAGCTTATGCCACTACTTTTTACCCTTTAAAACTAAGGAGTATCTAAGTATTTCTCTTATCCCATCATAGAAGACAGATGGGGAGACACAGAAACTATCATCACAAACCAACTACAAAGCCAGGTTAATTTCCCCTCATGAATCATCTGTTTAACATATAACTTATCTTTTAATCATTTACTATTTGGTAAGTGGAAGTTTCAGAGTGTCTTCTGCAACGTTCACTTGCATTAGAACTTAATTTAAGAGAAAAATTAACCTTAATGGGAAAAAAAGAGGTATCATTTTGAAAACTCCACCGCACCAACTTAACTAGATATGTAGGCCACTTAAAACCACAGACTCCGTTTGCAAGTCAACTATATGTAGAGACACCTACCATGACTTCCCCTGAAGGCCAGCATCTCCACACCAGTTCCTCCTTCCTTCCTCCCTCCCCCCCCATATCTCAAAGTGTCTTCACCTTTAAGTCACAGTAAGAAAACAAAAATCTATTTAAGGTGCAAGCACTCTCAAGTACCCAAACATCTTTCAGTTTGAAAGTGAGCAGAATTTTCACTTGTTCGCTATCTTCCCGCCAAACATCTTCAGTTTTCTGCTTTTCCAGTCTTAATATTTCTACTGCAATTGAAAGTGTTTTATTATCACTCTAGAGTACATAAGCACGTCAAAGCAGCAAACTACTTTATTTTTGGAGTTATGAATGCACATTCTGGAACCCAGTTAAGAAAAGCTGTTAAGGCCTGAGCCTTGGATCTCAGTCAGGTGACAGTTCAGCCTCCATTTTCTTTCACAGTATGCCGTAAGCAGCATATAAGTAAGCACAGTCACACTAAGAACTGCTCCTCCACAACTAAGTTTTCTAAAGGTCTCCAAAACCATGAAGTTTGTGTTAACTCACAAAGCTGGTACCATACAAAAAACACACCCCCTAGAAATACCTGATGGAACAAGCCGAGTATAAAAAAAATATTAATTTTGCCATCCGTAGGACTATAACATGTATGAGACTCTAGTCACCCCCTCCTTTTTTCTTTTTAAATGGATACTTGCAGAGCCACTCTCACTTCGAATTTATCTCCTAACTACTAGTAAAACTAATACACATTATTATTTTCATCTTCTGAATAATTTCTTAACACCGCTATCTTCTTGCTTTCCCTCCATCTTGACTTAATAAAATCTGCTTATCTAAAAACATTACAGTGAGCCCCTGCTAGCAGCTTTTCAGATTGGGAAGGCTAAGGTAAAACCCTGATTTTTTTTTTTTTTAAGTATTACACGTTAACAATTCTCACCAATCTGCTTCTGCTTCCCAAAAATCTTCCAGAATGCGGATGATCAAGTGTCCCTGAGTAGCGAGTTGGAGAGGACGTTGTAAGCTTCCAAGGAGTTTCATGGGTGTCTCTTTCTCCAATTCCCCAGTCTCTACTGGAACTATTCAATACACTGGATTCCTGAAGAACAACATGTAACTCAAAATGAACTCAATATCTGATCTGAATATTGAAAATACAGGGAAGTGGAGGTACTATCAAATCTGGAAACCTTTCATGAGAAACCTCAAGGGATACCCAAGAATAAATTAAACAGGCTTAAGAGAGAACCACTGGCAAAAGGGAAGAGTTTTTTTAATCACTTTCTAGCAGTTATCAGCTCCTTTATTTGCCCTCTCATTTGACTGCGGACAATAAAAGTTGAAGTGTAAGGCTTTTGAGGCATTACCCCAACTTAGATACTCCAGCAACAGGGCAGAATTAAGTACCTCACTTTCAAGTGTTAAGTAAAAAAAACCCACACGTGTAGAAAAAGAGCCTCCATGACAGCATAAGTGCCACAGCAAAAGTGGCTTTTTGGCCACTGCAGCAAGCCATCTGTCTTGTCCTGGTCATCAG